TCTCCCTCCCCCAGGGCCCCATACCTATGCCCCACTCCCTCCCTCACCATGGGGGCCTCAATCTGGCTCCCCCACCCCTTGCTTCCAACACACTTACCTGCTGGGCACTGCTCCACGTGCGGCTGGGCTGTATTCCTGGCCGCCTGCAGCAGGCTGTGGCTGGGTGTCTGTGTCCCCCACCCCAGCCTTCTGAATACCACTCAGGTTATCTGCATACCACAGTCTGGGAACCGCTGGTCTAGGAAATTCTTATTCAGAGGCTATATCCCTAGTTCCCCTGCTCAACAGCTACTGGTGCCCCTTTCCTCCAAGAATTTGTCTAATTCCTTTTTGTGTCAGGCAGCAACAAGTTCCACACTTTAATGACACACTGTTTAAAAAAGAACTTCCTTGTGGTAGCTTTAAACTGACTACCTACTCGCTTCATTTGGTGACTCTGAGTTCTTGGGTTGAGAGAGTAAATAATGAATCCCTATTTCCAGAATCATAGGGACACAGAAAATTAGAGTTGAAAGGGACCTCAGAAAGTCATCTAGTCCAGCAGTTCCCAAACTAAAGTACGTGTACCACCAGTGATATGCAAATCACCTGAGTGGTACGTGGAAGGCCATGGGGAAGGGTGCGCACACACACAGACACCCAGCCATGAGGCCAGCAGCTAAGTGTGCTGGGGGAGAAGGGGCATGGGAGAGGGAAGGCGGGGGCACAAATCGAGGCCTCCACACTGAGGGAGATAGTGGGGCAGAGGTAGGGAGAGGGGCTGGGGTGAATGGGGCCCTGGGGTGGGTCACAGGATAGTCGGAGCCCCAGGGAGCCCGTCCAGGAACGCGGTGGGGAGGGGAGGGAACAGGGGGACGATGACTCCCGCCACTGCACACACCCTGGGGGACACATAATTTGTGCACACGGGAGAGGAGGGCTGCTTGCTGGGCTGTGCGCCCCACTGCTGTTGCCTCAAGCTGCACGTGATGCCATATGCCTTCCGCACGCTATGCTGCATCTCCTGCCAGCCTGGCAGCAGAAGTCACGTGGCATTGCACATGGCTCCGAAGGCAGCGGCAGCAGGGTGCAGAGCCCAGTATTCAGTGGGCAGCCTGCCTCCACCCTACGCACAAATCTGGGGGACATATGCCTCTCCGGGGGTGCACACAGCAACAGGAGCACCCCCCCCCCCAGGAAAGGCCTAGGCTGCCCCAGGAAGGGCCTGGGCAGTGG